TTATCGTACACCTGGTAACACTGACTGGGACACACGTACTCACTCTCTCTTTCCCTATTTAAAGTATATGAGTATCTGTACCTTAAAGTACCTGTTTAAAGGTGTAAAAGTGTAAAATACAAGACTGGATCTTAAATTCATTTATAATACACAAAAGTTCCTTCGAAAGCATCCATGGTACAACCATAACGTCCCAAACCGTTTTGACATTGTGGACAATGTAATTAAAGACAGAATGCRATGGTTTTCAAATCTTATAAGGCTAAATTTTATTCCCAATGGAACATACAAAAATGAAAAGTGGAAACTAAARAACTATAAATTTTAGAAATTGATTGGCAGCACCTGGGGTTGTGACATGTGTTGATCCACATCGAAATATCAATGAAATGATTGATTAGATTACTGTCACTGTCACTAATGCATCATATCTCTATACACACTGTCCTTTCTCTTAGTCTGTTTATCTAACTTGTTCTTATTTCATGATGTCGCACTACACACACAAACACACACACACAACAGGTTTATTTCTAAGTGACAGCGTCTGACTGCTCCTGTTTGTTGCAGTTGTATTTAAGGCAACATGTACAGTATGCTCATGTTCCTGTCAGTTCAGTCTGAAATGTAAAGCTGTTGTCGTGTCACAACATGGGAACGAGGATTTGGTTTATTTATTTTATTTTTGTTCCCAGAGAGATGATGCATTGTTTCCAGGCAACATATCCGGTCATGACGGCGTCTCATTAAATCCTTCTTATATCTTTTCTGAAACCTTCACAGATAAACCGTCTGCGGTGTCTCAGTCTGTCTGGGTCTGAACCGGATCTTTCATTTGGTCCACCTCTYGCTTCATCACCCTTTTTTTTTGTTGTTGTTTTTAGTCGTTTACTATTAACCCAACTAGTCCAACACAGGTGAGGTTTCACTTTAAGCCTGTTGGTTTACAGAATTACATGCTTCTTATTGGGTTTATTTATTGATTCTGGATTCTACCTCTGGCTGCTGCTTGTGATTTGTTTTGCCCACCTGGTTTTTTGTAACCTTAAATCTTCTTTTTGAAGTAAATCTGGCCTTTTTGTCTTTACCTCCTTGCCTTGGGTGTTGTGCTTTTAGGTCCTTTTGAACTGATCCCTGATAGTTCTGTCTAACATCACAAAGATTCACCACTTTTTGCTCATGCTGGTGTGACTTCAGCATTCAGAAAGTATCGTTTAGATCAGGGGTGGRCAATCCTGGTCCTGGAGGGCCRCAGCCCTGCATGTTTTACTTGTTTCTCTGCTCCAACACACCTGATATGAATGATGAKTATCAGGCTTCTGCAGTACGGAGGACCAAAACCGACATAATTAGAAATAAAAGCAGAATTATATGAACCACTGAATAAATACACTTAAAATGCACCACTTAAACCAAAAAAGCAGAACGTTATCTCCTGTTTTATATTTTAATTGACTTTCATATTTATTTTTCCAGGTTAGYTACAGTAAATTAGTCTAAATATTTGAACACATAATTTAAATTTTATTGTTTTTTTAAAATACATATTGTTTTTCCTTTTACTTGTACATGCATTTGTGTGTCTTAAATGTTTATACTTAATTGTTTTTTTAAAATACATATTGTTTTTCCTTTTACTTGTACATGCATTTGTGTGTCTTAAATGTTTATACTTAATTGTTTTTTTAAAATACATATTGTTTTTCCTTTTACTTGTACATGCATTTGTGTGTCTTAAATGTTAATACTTAA